TAGGCTGCCCATGCTAGGTTTATTTTTCTTCGTAGTTCGCATATTTGTTGTCTCTTGTGATCTTTATTTCGTGTCCAAGATATATATATTTTCCACCAGCTGTACTTCGTTGTCTCCAATATTGATATTTCCTCTAGGTACTAGGTTTGTCATGAATTTTGTTTTGGAGATGTTTATTTTAAGACCCACACTGGCACACACTAACTGAAGTTCGTGTAGCATTGTACATATCTCCTTGAGGTTGTCCGAGAACAAAACTATGTCGTCTGCGAATTTCAAATTTGTTAATCTTCTACCGTCAATGTTCATGCCTTTCTCTTCCCAGTTAAGTTTTTTACAAGCATATTCTAGTACTGTGGTAAACAGTTTAGGCGATAAAGTATCACCCTGTCGGACTCCTCTGCTGATTGAGATATGATCCGTGTTTTCATGTAGTTTCACCGACATAGTTGCGTTCTTGTATGTATTGTAAATTAACTTGTATATCGGTAGTCAATGCGGTATGCTTGTAGTGCTTCCAAGATTTTGTCCAATTCTACCGTGTCAAAGGCTTTATGGAAATATACAAAAGTCAGAACGAGTGGTCGATTATATTGAATAGTCTTTTTTATTACCGTTTTAATGCTCTGTTGGTGATCATTTGTTCCAAATCCGGTACGAAATTGCGTAAATTGATATGTTTACAGTCAAAGATTTTCTATGATACTCGAAATATATTTCTGGAGAAGTGTCAGGTGTAAACGTATCGTAAGAGGACCCTGAGAATTATTGTTAAATTAAATATTGAACGTGCAATGTTAAATGAAGGATAAATTGCTTATAGTTGAAAATTTTATTTTGGTTTTTATTTTAGGTTTTCCACGAAAGGAGAACACATGGGAAATTATGAAAAGAATATCTGTAATAAGTCAACTAGCTGAAGAACAAAGGATAAAAGGGGAAATGTCTAAAAGTTCTTTAACTGAAAATACGAAAGGTCATACTGGAGAAAAACCTTACGTGTGCGAAATTTGTTATAAACAATTTGGAGTAGCATTTTATTTAAAACAACATATAAGAACGCATACTGGGGAAAAACCTTATAGGTGCAAAATTTGTTTTAAACAGTTTCCTCGTAAAGATTCTTTATCTCACCATGTAAGAACTCATACTGGAGAAAAATCTCACAAGTGCGAAATTTGTTCTAAGCGGTTTATCTACAAATGTTCTTTAAATGAACATATAAAAGTTCATACTGGAGAAAAACCTCACAAGTGCGAAATTTGTTTTAAACAATTTGCTCGTAAATTTTATTTAAATGAACATCTAAGAGTTCATACTGGAGAAAAACCTCACAAGTGTGAAATTTGTTTCAAGCAGTTTACTCAGAAAAGTGGCATAAATGAACATATGAAAGTTCATACTGGAGAAAAACCTCACAAGTGCGAAATTTGTTTTAAGCAGTTTAGTCAGAAAGTTAATTTATATCAACATACCAAAGTTCATGTTGCAGGAAAACCTCACAAATGCCAAATTTGTTTTAAGCAGTTTACTCATAAAGGTTCTTTATATCAACATTCGAAACTTCATACTGGAGAAAAACCTCACAGGTGTGAAATTTGTTTTAAGCGGTTTACTCAGAAAGGTAATTTATATCAACATACGAAAGTTCATACTGGAGAAAAACCTTACAAGTGTGAAATTTGTTATAAACAGTTTGGAGTAGCAAGGAATTTGAAACAACATATACGAACGCATACTAAAAAAAACACGAAAAGAAACCATGAGAGGAGAACACACGCGAAATTATAAAAAGAATCCCTGTAATAAATTAACTAGCTGAAGAACAAAGAATAAAAGGGGAAATGTGTTTTCAGCAGTTTACTCGTAAAAGTTCTTTAACTGAAAATACGAAAAAAAAACATAATTCTGAATGACCAACTTGAGACAAACAGTTCTCCCCTCCTCAACCTATTTCATTAGAGACTATAAATTTGTAAACCCAAGCCAAAATAGATCACTTGAGAAAGGCAATCAGCCGAAACAGCTGTAGTGATAATATTTAAAATAAATTTTGTGGAAGTTTGAAAACAAAGTTTTCAGTGTTTTATTGTTATATAAAATGAATTTCCATCAAGTAACGGTCGAATCCATCAATTATTGAAAATACGAAAGTTCACACTGGAGAAAAACCTTACATGTGCTAAATTTGTTATAAACAATTTGGAGTAGCATATAATTTAAATTAACATATAAGAACGCATCAGTGGCGGATTTAGAAATTTTTGTCGGAGGGTGGGGGTCATGGATCTTGAGGATGATTTTGATATAGGAGTTAGATTTTTGTACCTTTCCTGTCTGATCCCCAGAAATTTTTGCCTGGGTTGGGGGGGGGGGGGCATGGGTCTTGATGGTGGTGATTTTGATATAGATTTTTGCACCTTTACAATTGATATGATTTGTGCCTCATGTAAGGGAACCATTTTCTCAATAATTATTTTAAGCGATATATTAAACCAATGAGCAGTTATTAAAACCCAAATACTCTACGGGTGCAAAGAAGGGGGGTACAATATTGGGAGGTCTTAAACTTAAACCAAAAGATAATTTAAACCCACATACTCTATGACAGTAAAATCAAGTGTACAAGACTATTAAAAAAAAAGAAAGGTATTAAAATATAAATACTTAAAAAGCAAGGACTGTCAATTTAAACTAGGTATTTTAAGACAATTACTTTAAACCCACCTATTCTATGGCTACAAAATCAAGAACAGACAAGGATAAATAAGTATACCATTTTTCAAAGTAAAACACTTGCACGTCATGATTTCTACAAAGTGACGTCACTTGTATTTAACAGAATACAATATATTTCCAGAACATCAACCTTAGAGTTCAAATTTTTCTGATAAATTTTCATATATGATAGATTATTGTGAATAAGAAATAATGGCGGAACGTTTTTACTATTAAAGCCCTAAAAGTGGTAAGTTTAATATTTAGAATATATAATTTTGTATTAAAATGTTTTCCTATGTATTTTAATGTGTTGCAGTAGTCTTAAAACTAAGTGTATTTACTGTTAATATAATAGTTTGACAAATAGTTGACATTTTAAAAATTCCTCACTTACTAACTATTCTGATGTTTTGGCAAAGCTGTGGAATTCTGACGACGTAAATCTTGAATGACGTGCATGCTTTTTTATATGAAAAATGCTATATAAACCAAAATTTATAAAAATAAGTAATTTAAATGCAATAACTCAATGTAAGTGTAAACATTATTGAATGTATTAAACATTCCTAATAAACTCTATCTTATCGTTGGTTATCCGATATAAATTTGTAAAAACATTCATTTATTTCTTAATGCTATACCGAGTGAAAACATGACTCTCGGAATTACAAGAAGTATGAGGCGTATAGAAGCCTTTGAAATGTGTGTTTTTCGCAGGACGTCGATTTCGTGGACAGATCACGTGACCAACAACGAGGTGATGACAAGAATGAGGACTGAGAAAGAACTCCTAAATATTGTAAACAACAGAAAAACGAGATATCTAGGACACATTTACATAAGTATTAATAATTGCCAATTTCGCATGTATTTAACAATGTCAAACATATGTCATATGTTTAACCTGAAAATTTGGAGGTCCAAAACTGTCAGATGAAGGCGGTAGGTGTCGCGTCAGTCACGCACGGAGCGAATAGTGGTCTGTGAAATAAACCACCTAAAATATACCATAATCGTCCGTGAACCAACGATACTTCTCAATAACAAAGTAAAAATGTATAATAATCTTCCTCTAAACACTGTAATTTTTCAAGAACAAACTAAAAATATATAATATTCGTCCGCGAAACACCGTAATTTCTAAAGGAACTTTAGCGAATTGTCCAGCAGTCTTAAGGTCGATTCAGACACATCAGTCCCGTCACAGTCTCGGCGCCGAACCGGTCCTGTTTGGTCACAGAACTATTAACTATCTGACAGCTAGGAAACTGTTTGTCGCCTGATGAATGTGAATGCCGGCGCCATATTTCTATTAAAGAATATTTTGTATGACGGATTGTTCGGTTCGGCGCCAGGACTGTGACGAAACGTGACTGATGTGTCTGAATCCTGTCCTGGCGCCGAACCGAACAATCTGTCATACAAAATATTCTTTAATAGAAATATGGCGCCGACATTCACATTCATCAGGCGACGAACAGTTTCCCAGCTGTCAGATAGTTGATAGTTCTGTGACCAAACAGGAAAGGTTCGGCTCCGAGACTATGACGGGACTGATGTGTCTGAATCGACCTTAAATATTCTACGGACACGGGCGGGCTTTCACCGCAATGACAAAAGTGTAACAAGCGCCATCACCCGGTCTACCGTTGAAGCAATATTATCTCAGTCGTTCGCAGATAATTTACTCACAAACTCGAGTTGAATGGCGTAATAAACTCATATTTACAAATTTTGAGATATTACTGTATTCCTCGACAGGTGCGATATGATACTATTTTTAATTACTTTACGTAACGGGCACCACACTACAGAGTCAAACGCATTTATAAAACTTAAATCGGGTAAATAAATACCGAACAAACTCATATAATTTAAATGTGACGATGTGATTGTATATAGGTTTCATCCCATAATTGTCATAAAATCTGTCGTTTTGAAAGTTTTGACATTGTTGCCAAGTTTATCCAATAATCTAACCAAAGGGCAATTATTATCAAATGTTTTTCTAATAACTAACTGCAACTAATATCGAAAGAAATAAATATTCGTTCGTTCTTATATTATATAAATTTCAAAAAATACCAGATTCCATAAAATAATACAATAAAAATAAAAAAAGTACTGTTTCAAAGGATATTTGAGGCATAAAACATATACATAATAAGGACATGGCAATACCGCAAACGCGAATTTATCATGATTTTATCATGGTGTTAAATGTTAAATTTATTATTATTAATTTATTGAATTGAAATATAGAACCAATATTTAATCAAATGGAAGTAAAACAAAAAGTTTGTGGAAAGGCATGTAAAATAGAAATAGATAGTGATCTGAATGATGCTCTTCTGGATACTATTAAAAGTGAAATTAAGGAGGAACCCAAACGAGAAACTACACATGATATATTTGATTATGTAGACCTAAAGACAATTCCCATAAAGTCTGAAATAGGACAAGATGAACTTGAGTCATTAGAAGAAAGAAAAATAAGTGAAAAAGGTAAGTAAACCACAAGGGTACTACAAGGAATATTATGTTTGTTAATTAATGAATATAGATGCATATGCTTCTATATTCATTGGTATAACAGTAGGAGCACAACCAACGATTAGATTCTGCTTCAGTTATTAATTAATGCCTATTATTGTTTACCCATCCTTAATTTTTATGTATTTTCTGTTTAACAGAGTAGTTGTCACCATGACAATATTATATCAATAATATCAGAGGCAGAGACTTTTTTAGTTTCTCTTGCTTAACTTATGTTTGAATTAAGTACATGGTTATTTCTAATGATTTCTGTAGCCAAGAGACACTGAGTGTTGATAGATTTTAGGCTTTCCCAATAAAACACACTGAAAATTGTGTGGACATTCATGTAACAAAAAATAATGAGTGAAGAAAAAATATTTAAATGTGAAATTTGTTTTAAGCACTGTGTCCATAAATATTCATTAAATGAACACATAATGGTTCACACTGAAGAAAAACTTTAAAATTGTGCAATTTGGTTTAAGTAGTTTCATCCCTAAAAGTCTTTAAAATATATCCCAAAAACATACTGTGTTATGTTTTTTGTTATATTTGACTATTCTATTAATGACATTAATTTGTATAGAATTACTGAGGTTATTGACTTAGGTGTTATTTGTATGGTAAATTGTCAGCTTAGGGACACAAAAATGTAACTACATTTGTTCCTATTTTGAGATGTCTACACCATTGAACTTACCTTAGTGACTTCTTTTGAGTGAGTACCATTGAACTTACCTTAGTGAGTTTCTCAGTAAGAAGTTTTCATAACTACATCTTAGCAATCTTTTATACTCCAGTAAATAAAAAATTAAATGAGTTATGCATGTGATCTCTTAAGTTATTGTATCATTTAGCTGTCTCTATGTAGTAGAAGAATATTTATTTTTTATTTAGTTAAGAACACATAATTAAAAGGAAATTTAAAAAAATATATATTAAATGGAATATTACAAACGATTATTTAATAATCAATATAATCTAATCTTTTTCTGTCTGGTTCAGGAATTCCATCTTCTTAGTTTTTCTTGTTGTTCTGTCAATATATTACCCTCCCTATCTATTAACTTCTTTTGTTTGAATTCTTTTCTGCTTTTGTTCAGTTTCTGGTAAAGTTTTCTTGTCTCTATTGGCTTACTTAGTTCTTGAAGTTCTTTGTTAATATTTTCTCTTTTCTTTCTGTGTTGGGTTTTCTTTTCTTCTTTACGTAGGTATTTATGTTCCTCCTTTGCTTGTCAAGTTATGTGCCCCTGTAGCATCAGTAAATATGCTTTGTTTTCTCTTTTTGTTATAATCTGACATTCTTCGTCAATACACTTATTTATTCTTGTTCTTCTGTGTTTACCTTCCATGCCTAGTAATTCTTCAGCTGCTTCTTTCATGATGTTTCTGCACCCTTCCCACTCTTCATTTATGTTTTTATGTTTTAGTCTATTTTCTAGTTCGATGTTTATATTTTGTTTTTATTCTCTATCTTTGTTCATATCTTTGAGACCTTCTACATTATATACAAATGTTTAAAAATCTGGCCCTTACTCTAGTTTCGACCCAGTAGTGACCAAATCCGCATTTACTCCTTTGCTGGTGCAGATGTTTATCTGTTATATTCAATTTGTGTCTTGAGCCTATATTCACATGATTTCCAGGTGCCTTTGTGTATATCTTTTTGAACGAAGTTAAAATTATACAATCCATTGCAAAAAACTACTACGCCAAAAAAAAAAGACATTTTTGAAACCAGAGCATCAAAAATGTTTAAAATTTCTTATTTCTCAAGCACCAAATTTTTTCATTTTGTTGGACTGTGTTATCAATCCTGTTCCATACTGTACAAGTTAACTGTTTACTTTGTATTCCAGTTCTTATTTTTGACAGAATTTTCAGTTTTTTATTTACCCTTATAAAATGAAAGTGTTTGCTTCATTGTGTAGTTGCAGCAATCGGCTGTTAGAGAATTAAATTTTTCTCAGAAATAAACTGAATATTGATAATTAATACCTAGAATAATGCAATACCCAGAATCATTCGTGGAGAGTATTGTATTTGTAACAATATCATTCAACTTCTTCCAAATAAACATGTTTTGGTATGTTTTTAGAAGACATTATGTAGATACAGATTAAACAAACATCTGCTGTTGCTAGTACCCTTTCTATTAATAGACTAAATAATTAAATATCTTTCTGAAATAAAAAGAATATGATAGAATAGAATAGAAATATGCTTTATTGTCACTGAAAATTATTGAACAATTTTATGGACAAAGCTAAAAAATAAATCAGTCAAATAATACAAAAAGTATAAAACAAAAACAATATAGTAAAAAACAGAATAACACAATTTTAAATTAGTAAAATTATTGTATAACCTACATAATTTGTACAGACAACAACAAATGAGACAAATTGTAGCCACTGCTTGAGACACCCAAATGTAATTATAAACAATACTAATTTTGTTTCTTTGTTATACATTAAGAAACTCGTCAACTGAATAATATGGTCTTTCTGAGAGATAGATTTTTGTCACCTTACGAAACTTAATGAAGGATGTTGCGGATTTAATTTCTCTTGGAAGGTGATTATAAAGTTTCTTTGCACGATATAGAATAGAATTCTTTACTAGCTGAGTGGACGGGATCGGCAAATAAACGTTACAATCCGAATTTCTAATGGAGTAGCCATGGTCAGGTCTATCGGGAAAAATGTTTAGATGCTTTCGAATCAAACAAACCGTTTCCAAAATAAATAAAGAGGGAAGCGTCAAAATTCCGTGATTTTTGAAGTAGGTCTTGTAATGAGTTGTTTGTTTGAGACCAAATAGATAACGGATTGCTCTTTTTTGCAACTTAAAAATAGTATCAAATTAGGCCGCTGTACTAGAACCCCAAAATGGAAGCCCATATCGAAGATGGGACTCGAACAATGAGAAATATGCCATTTTGGCAGAAGATAAATTTAGTTCCTTCGAAACAGATCTTATTGCAAAGCAAGCTGAGGCTAGTTTCTTTCTTAAGGAGTCAGTATGCAAGGACCATTTGAGATCACTGTCAATGAGAATACCTAGAAATTTCACGGAATTTACGATATTGATTTGGCTCTCATTCAAAAGCAAAAGTTGCATGACTCCTTTATAAGATAATGCTACAGTCTTATCCACGTTAAAGCTAAGTAAGTTGGAGTCTGACCAAGCCTTGATTATAAGTAAATCATCGGTTATAATTGAATGAAGTGTTGAAATATCAGAGCTGCTCCAAGTAATACTGGTATCATCAGCAAATAGAAAAATTTTCCCTTTAATTTTCAAGTAATTGATGTCATTAATGATAAGTAAAAAAAGAATGGGACCTAATACTGAACCTTGCGGTACTCCACACTCAATATCTTTACAACTAGAGTCGGTGTCATTTATTCTAACCAATTGTTTCCTACCTACCAAGTAAGTTTTGAACCAGTTCAAAGACACACCCCAAATTCCGTAGAAAGTTAATTTTGTTAATAGAATGTCGTGATTTACGCAGTCAAAGGCTTTGGAATAGTCGCAGAAAACGGTGGCGGAGGAGAGGTTACTATTTAGTGATAGATATACATCATGTAACACAGAAAATATGGCATCACTAGTGCATTTATTAGACAAAAAGCCGAACTGATTTTGCGATAAAATATTATATTTAAGGAGAAAGGGCATAAGTCGAATTTTTATAAGTCTTTCAATAATTTTTGATAGTGCTGGTAACAAGGCAATAGGTCTATAGTTGCAGGCATCAGATTTTTCTCCACTTTTATGAAGAGGAATGACGATGGCAGTCTTTAGGCAGTTAGGGAATGTACCTTTTTCAAGGGAATCATTTACTAGCGAGACCATGACGTCCAAAACATTATGCGGTAGATTTGAGAAAATTTTAATAGATAATCCATCTGTACTACAGGACGATGTGCTTTTTATACTACGAATTGTTGAAATGAGTTCCGTCTTATCAACTGGTCTTAAAAAGAAGGTATCAGCAATGTTTTTTGAATTAGAGAGATAGGAAACTGGATCTTGATGTGGCGAAATAGTTGAGGTTATATTTTTACTCACATTAACAAAGTAATCATTTAGATTTTCGGGGTTAGGAAAAGAAAAGGTTTGATCCGCTGTACTGATTTTATTTCGAAAATCGTTTATTATTGACCAAGTTTCTTTTGAAATATTTTTGGAGCTTATTAAGCGATTATGAAAGTAGGATTTTTTGGCTACTTTGAGTAGTTTTATATAGCATTTTCTGTACTTGTTGATATAATCAGAGATGGGGATACTGTCATTAAATTTTTTAATATATAGCAGAGAACGCATATTTTTCGCAGATATGCGAATGCCTTTGGTAATCCAAGGTTTATTATGTTTTGGCCTGATGTTTAATAGAGGAAATGCTTTATTAAAAATAGATACAAGTCTATTTAGAAAATTACTAACATTACAGTCAATGTCTCCAGAAGAAAAACTCCAGTCAGAAGTCAAGCATGAATTATAGAATTTACGAAAGTTTTGAGTGGAAAAAATCCTACCTAATCGTCGGGTTTTTGAGTGAGGTGTTTGTAAACTGCTAAACTTGGTATATACCGTTTCATGATCAGAAAGCCCCCCACTAATAACTGTAGAATGGACGTCAGCGAGTGGAAAATCGGAAACCACATAATCAATTGTCGAGGATGATGTTTTTGAGATTCTTGTTGGAGAATTAACGTGCATTGTGAGACCATATGATTTAAAAATAGTTACCAAAGACAGTTGGGTCGCACAAACAGCAGCGTAGTCAATATTAAAATCACCACATAAAATTTTTCTGCTTTTAATGGGCAGAATATCTAACAAATTTAGCAGGCTCTGAAGAAATAGTTCAGTATCAGAGCTAGGTGATCTATAAATGCAAATAATGTATAGATTAAATTTCTTATTAAAAATCAAAGAAAATTCGAAGTAGTTTT